ACAAACCTAATTGGACCGAATAAAGCACCTTGGTCGGTGATTTGCGTAACCATTTTCACAGAAACACAAAATACAGCAGCAATCATCAATATTCACATTTAATATAATACTGCTGAAATGCTTTCCTAATACACGAAGGCTCTCTTTCGTAGTCCATTTTCGTGTAAATGTCTGAGGGGGAAATGTTGAGGCAGCTTGAAGTCTAACTTTGTTTCCCGTCTTTATTTGGACGCTGCCATTGCCGCAGACGGGTCCAGTACCGGGCTAAATGCTTTCCTCCAGAAGTGACATTTCTGCGTAGCAACTCCCAGCCTGAGCCATTATCCTGTTCGTCTGGGTTTATTTCAATTACCATGTATCCCCGGGAAGGATAACATAGACGAGTGGGACAGAGGTTGAGAGAGCACAGACATTCATCGAAGCGAGCTCCGCCCATCGTGTCTGCGGAAGTAGTGTTTGGCCGTGTGAAAACAAATTAGGCTGAATCTTGTTTTATTAATGCCCTGTTTTTCATCTCCCCTGATCTATACGCATAAACAACCTCTGGCTATACCTATTTGCTTTACTGCAAACCTTTAGGTACAGTTCTTGTTGATTTATGTAACCCCCAAAAGAAACCGAAGCCTAAACAAGGAACTGAAAAAAATATGATGACAGTGATCTGGAAAAAACGACTACTTTTTTTGTTCTCGATCCACGTCACAAAATCCGGAGTAGCCCACTTGTTTTTACTCCAGAAATACATTGCTTTCTACCCCCTTTCTTATACAAAACTAAGGGCTAAGTGTCCTGAACGTCCTGAACATAAACTAGAGATAGAAAACATAAATATCCAATATTCTGGCAAATTTAGGTGCATAATATCTGGGTGAGGTTTCTTCCCGAGATAAAATTCATACTTACTCCGGATTACGCAAATTTGCATTCGCATTAAACATTAAAGGCGTCAAAATTACAAATGAAAAATCGTGCAGCCACTTTCTCAGGCCACTCTTCTTCTGACAGAATTCAACACAAGCTTTTCATGCCTCCATTACTTATTACTTAAAGCCAGACGGCATTTATTACGAGAGATACCGCCTCGCCATGCAGGAAAGAATTGCTACAAGTACGTCAACCTATAATACGGTCTTAAATGCTTAAACATCCTCACGCATCCTCGCCTAAATGCTTTTAAAGCAGACAAAAACCTGTTCAGAATCAATTTTCTCCTTGTCTCTTAGCTTTAGAAAAAGGCATTCGATGAAAAGGTGTAAGGCTTGCGCTTCCAGGTTTGATGTGACTTCAGCCGTTTATTAGTCGCTCATTGCAATGCAAAGAGCTATACACTTGACAGATGAGTTGGCTGAAGCTGTTGGCACGACTGGGGTGGTATAGTACATAAATTCTTCGTATCTAGGTTCATCGCGAACCGATGGGAGGGAAAAAATTTCTGCGGCAATAGAGTGTATGAAGGATAACTTTTAGCAAAAAATCCAATCTTGGAGCAGAAAAGCACTTCCTCCTACTTAGAAAAAGAAGCATGTGGCTTCCGATGAATCACACACCGAAGATGTAGTCTTTGTAATTTAAACCCCTTTTTCTGTTTTTAAATAACCACACTTTCACAACTATGGGGAAACCTCATATCTGCTCAAAGGACACTGGTTTTCCAGGGATTGTCGGGCCTAGGCCTATATAGTCCTACGTGCACCTGATCTCAGACCACAAGAATCAGCTGCGTGGCTATATATATAGCCCTCATGTCAACACATCTCATCCCCCTAGGGTGAATGGCCTGCCTTCAAATCTACACTCATCATCAGCGATATCTTAGTGATAACGGGGTCGGATGAGTGTCACCTCCCCACCCACTCGTCACTGTCCTTCCCTTCTTCCTCTCCTCCTCCTTTTCACCAGCACAAGACGTGGCCTCACTCATGACGCCCCGGGCGCGGTGCTGGTTCTTACCCACTCCGGAAGGTATATCAGCACGTTCCGGCTGTGGAGGGGAATGATTTTCTTGAGATGCTTGTTTGCCGTCTGGATTTTAATTTTAGAAGAAAGCAACCTTTCCTCGGGCAGTGATCAACCTTAGTTACCAGCACATGCCTGCGATGCAGAACCCCGTCTCTTTGCGCCCATTAAAGGATCCGTGCCACGAATTTTTCTACGATTCATTTCTTGTGGATCTTGTCAATGTTCTTAAAAGCCTGAAAAATGTTTGAAATCCACTTGGACTTGAGCGTACTGAAAAGTGCACTTTTATAAACATCAAAAACCACAGTGCTCAAGTGAAGCTTTCCTGCACAAATAAGGGCGCTGTTGTTGCTGTGTAAATCAGGGAAGACACTTAAAAGTTTTCATGTTTTCTTGTATAAACTGTGAAACCCAACTTTGCCATTTGGAAAAAAAATCGGAGAAAAGTTTGTAAGCTAGTTTATTGCAAATACTTACATAACCATAAATTGCCATAATTTGTAAGCTACTTTATTGCAAATACTTACACAACCATAAATTGCCAAAGAAATGTAAATTTACGACAGCAAAATTTAAACCATTCTAGTAGTTTTTCGTGCACGTATCAATACAACTATGTGGTTTAGTGCCTGGGATAACGTCACATATTTGGTAATAAATTTGCAAATTACTGTAATTCAGCGATTAGAATAAGAAGCTTTTATTGCAGTGGCACAACGCACGTGGACACGCGGTACGCGCGCGTTGCATACTACTGCGACCAATGGGATGTTTCCCAATGCACGTGCGCGTCAAGTTTAAGAATGCGTGTGACTGAGGTGCCACCGCAGTCATGGTGTCTCCAAAAGAAAAGATAAATTTAGCAACACTTAAATTAAAAAAGGAGAAACACAAAGGCGCAATTTCAAAGGTTAAAAGTGAAATAATGATATTGAAGGGTCCCTTTAAGTTGACCGCCTCTTTAGGACGGCTTTGTGTACGCTCGCCCGCTCGTAATCATTTGTTAGATATTGCGAAAGGACGCCATTTTCCTATACCTTTTAGCAAAAGTAAGAACCTGTCCGTCCTGTTTCCAGTTGCGACCCATACATTGCCATAATTGTGGTCATACACAGGTGTTAAATCAACACCCTCTGCATCTATGTAAATACGGGAGTGTTACATTTACACAATGTTTACAGTCTGTTCAGTGTGTCCGTGATTTGGTACGTGCCCCCTCGCCCCCTGATACCAAAGCGGCGATCCATACCTTACCTTACTGATTGTCCAGGGGAAAACAAGCTTCCCTTGACATCTCATATTGACGTAATTATCCCCTTTTGCTCTTTTATTTCACCTCGTTGTTTTTGTCTTTGACTTGAATCCCTTTTTCTTAGGGTCTGCTCTTTGCTCAGTCCATTTTCTTTTATATCCAGCACTCGTAAATGGTGCCTTTTCTCTCGTATCCTATCCCAACAACGTTAGTTTTTCTCTCCCTATTGGCTTCGCTGCAATATTGTTATGGCCATTAGATATTATCAACATGCCATTTCTAACGACGGATAGGGGTTATTCCGCCACGAATTAACATAAAAGCACTGTGCTTCCAGTTGGTCTGCCTGAGGAGAGAATGGTATATGGTATTTGCCTAATGATCTATTTAATTTCTGGATACGTCTAACCCTTCCAAACATCTTGAAACATATCTTGCTTCCAACAGTTTGTTCATCCTAGTCTTTTGCGGGCGTTTGGAAGCTGAGTGTGTGGTGCATTTAACGTGGTTGCGTGACTGCTCGTCGTTTGACGAGAATGTACCCCACAAAAAACCAAACTAGCCGTTGGTAAACCTATTTAGTGTACTCCATCAACTGAGATGTACAACGTTGTCCTGTAGGTGTTTGCCTCACACACCTCTCACCCTTGCTCGTCCTCACGGCTGTCATTTTGTCATTTTCCATTGCTGTACAGCCACAAATGCTGCACGACTGTCCAGATTTTCATGTTTATTTGAGGAGATAGACACGACATAGGTTATGCTACATGTCTTGTCAGGTGCCTTTGCTTACATACGAGAAAAAATTGAGGATAGGCTATTTAAACTCTGTGATTAATAGTATTACTTAGTTGGTGATTTTTTTCTTTTTTGTTTCATATGTTAATAAGAGTGCAGAACCACTGTGCTCATGCGAGTGGCAGTGGGGTCCGAACAAAACTTATTCACAAAAAGCGCAATTTTCAAGGCAAAGATAACAAAGTACATTCATGACAATGGCAACATGTTGACGTTCCCAAAAAACATGTAACACTAAGGAGAGATGTGCTGGGTGAAGGTGGCATTTTGAAGCCATGCATTTCTAAAAAAGAGAAAGATGTTTATTACTAAGACAACGACTAATGCCAAGCTAGCTACAGTTTAGTGAATGTCCACCATCAACATCCTGCTATTAACAGTCTTGGATGCATGCGTAAAGCTGTGTTCAATAGCACTACAAGTGATGCTGTCGAAATAAATATGCTTGTCTATAACAGCTACCCGCAGGATGTGATATTGCCGCAGTCAAAAAGGCTTACATGTGGCATATGCCGAACCTTCGTAATAATTATGTCTTGACAGAAAATTCTTGATGGTCAGCGATGCAGCCAACAAATGTTATTGTTGAATTAATTCCCTTGTTTTATACCAATTGTAAAAGTTTATTCCAGCCACAATAGCTTTGAGACTTTTCATCGGCCAATTAAAGAAGAGAGCTAAGAAGGAATAAAGTTATGAGAAGTTGGAAGGAACTGCGTATTGAATTATAATTTTTCACATTTAGACCGACGGGGATTGCCCTCCTCGTTTCAATTAACTGTCAATTTATATTTCATGAAAGCACAGGACACCTAACTGCAGACGGTGCCAAAACAGGAGATTTGGTACATGAGGAAAAGTACACGCCATCTGCTTTGTTGACCTCTTGCCTCGTGGGATTACTCGCTATATATATTGGATTATGATCTCCAATTTTCATTCGAAGTTGGCCTGCTTTGTGTCTTCCGTTTCATCCCTTTTGTTATGACAGATGTCGTGCAAGGAGCACCAGACTGCCGTTCATTACCTTGATACTTCATCATTGCATCTGTCTGTTTGCCGATCGTGACTGGGCTGTGCAGTCTCCTGCTGAGCTCTTGTTGACAGGCAGGTACAGCAAAGTGCAAACAACTTACGTCATCCCAGCAGCAGCCCTTTTTCCAATCCAATTCGAATCCTAGAAACTCCCTCTGTTCTCTTCATGATTATCTCAGGCAATCCAGCTTCCTATCCGCTGGATCCCAAGGGTGGGAAGATTCGTGGAGTTTGTCTTAAAATGTAACGCTCAGTTTTGTATCGTTCCAAGTTGTATACGTCGACAAGAGTAATTGTTGGCATCAAACAATAGGGGAAATAAAAAAATTGCAAGTAGACAAATCTCATCTAATTTCACAGCATGGTCACGTTACTAAGACAGCGGGATTCACCTCTGCGAAGTTGTTTAGACTCCAGAAATATTTCTTTTGAAATTTGCAGCTTGCTGTCGTCATAACGGGTAAAAACGATACCCAGTTACACGTACATGCGATTTATAGGTCGTAAAACCTTGTGTACAGCAACTAGCCTTTTGTTTAGCTGTTTCATTTGGTTTTAACTCTTGAATGTTGTAAAATATGAAAAATCTGAAAGGACGAATAACACAATAAAGACGACATATTGAAAACTGTAAGCACCCTGACCCACGGTACATTTATTTTGTATTGCAGTACCAGTATTTTCATCGGATTTTCTTTTAAGGGATGCTGATTGGTCTGGTACGTATCTCATTTATACAAACGTGATTTGCTTGGAAGTTTCTTTCTTGAAGCATTTTTTGCTCGATACGGGGACATTATCGGCGATTCGTTCCTCAAAAGTGGTTTTTGTTTTTGCACAATCACCGTTATTATTGTTACTATGTTCAAGGACCTCGGAACCATGTGAAGGGCATTTTGAACCTTGGCGCCAATTTATGCCGTGTGTAATGTTTTGACTCGGTCATTAAATGAAAAAAATACCTCGAAGGCGGATGCTAATTGCTCATCATGAGCGAAACCCAATATTATAAATCTGCTAATGGTTCCTCGAAAGTAATTTCAGTATCTTGGTTCGCCGGCAAAGTGTCATTGAATTCTGAACTAAATGTCAGGCGCACGCTAAATACAGTCATCTCGCCATTCTTCGATGTTATTACTATTTTATTGACGGAACTTTACTGTTTTCTGTTCAGGGGAAGCACTCGGGCTCCTCTTTAATGAATGATGAGGAGACCTATTGGTAATAACGTGAGGGGAGGACTGCAAACAGGCAGCCGAGGCGGGCAGTCCATCTCACTGCCATTATCAGGCTATTTGTCATGCTAACAATGAGAACACCGCTGCAGAATTTTTCAGTTTATCCGAATGAGATCTGACATGCATGACCATTAACAGCCATTTCGGAAGTCCGGACATTCGGACAACGCATCCCGCGACATCATTCAGTAGTCGGCTTCTGATTATGTTAAGTGGTGCCAAATACTCTGGTTTATTTATCTTTTGGGGAATATAGGAACCCACAAATTTGATTAGTTTTCTGCTTGACACAAAACTACGAAAAATTTATGTATTTTTTAAAGTATCTTCCACACTGGCGTGTTGAAGTTTCGTTCCCGTGGACGTTCATTTTGGACGTGATGGTGCGATTTAATATGTACGTTTTCGCAAAATAACTTATCTGTTTCTGATGGTGCATGACAGTTTGGCATCAGAAACAATCGACCTCATATTCGCCGGTGTTGAAGGTGTTAGCTCCGTGCTTGAACGAGGGAGGGCGCGCGTGTTACCTAGCAACGACGACCACTTGAACAACACGTATGGTGCCCAACATAGACAAAAAAATAATATGGGCCCAGCATGGGTAATATTTTCACCTGAGAATATGTCATCTCATTGACTCATCGTCCAGTGGTTTTGAGGCGACAGTGACAAGTGGGTGACACCGATGGGGGGATTTTTTTGCACACTGTCTGTATGTATGTTGTCCATACCAGACCAGAGGGTTTCCGAGTTAGCAGGCTCTGACTTAGAAAAACACTGCCTTTTTTATGAGTTTGCATTGTTTATTTTGTGTCAACAAACTTGAGAAGCTAGTGGTTCAATCCTTTGTTGATCTTAACTTTTATCTCTCTGAGGAAATTATAACCAGTGATCATCTTTATGTTTATACCACTCTGCGAATTTTGAATCACGAAAAGACCATAGCAAAACCGAGAAAGTTAACTAAAATTTGATGCTTCACTGCTCAAAAGCAGCGGCAGGCAAACCCCAGTTTCTTGATGTTTCATGACAGATTGCCAGTAAATGTTTGATGAAAGGATAACAAGCTGGGAAAGGTGTTGCAATGTCAACAATGAAAAGGTTGTGGGAATCTGACCCCTAGTGGAGTGTTTAAAACGTGCATATACCAACATCAATCAGCTGGCTGTCATAACAGCTCGTTACATTGTTGGTGTTTTCCCCTAAACCAATTTCAAATGTCTTCCAAATGCCAGGTTTTAACATGATCATTAACACCTCAGACGGTTCAGTCATTACTATTGGTCGAGAGGCCGCCATGTGGCCGGTCTTTAGCACCGGCTGGATGGTCTTAACACCTCTCCGGTTTTACATGTTATTTAGACTCCAATGAAATCTGGTCCCTTTTCCCTTGGATTGGTTAAACGTTTACAAACTTCACTTCACTCTGTGTTTGTGCAAAGACTACCAAGGAGTCCGCCCGTGGAGAGTTCCAAATGCACACAACACTGGCTCATTGCGTACAGCGCGCCATCTCACGTGGTATCTGCCCCACGCGTGCGCCCCTCTCCACAAAAGATTATTTACGACTTCTAGTGAGAAGCACACACCACACTAAACATGCCTAGAGGAGGTGTTGAAAAAATGACGTAAAATCGTTTGAACAAAATTGTTGGAAATGTTTCATTTAACTCGTAGTGTCCCTCGCCTTCGGCTTGGGGAAGGTAATTACCATGCGATCTCTTAATCTGGTCTTTAACGAACCATAAGACCGACTAAGCTCAACATTCCCTTATTAAACTCCACCTCCATCAGCTGTTCATAACATCTGATTCTCATTCATTTTGGAAATCTTGTTTTCGAGTGGCAGCGAGTGATCCTTTGAGATTTCCAACAATTTAAAATGCATTTGAGATAGTTTAAAGGAAGCCAGTTTATGTTTATTCATCATCTGCAGTCCTTTTGTAACATTCGAGTTTAGCATCTTGTCGAGAAAACAAACCCTACCAGAATCCGCTAATTTGGATGTTAAATTCAATAGCAATAACAAGTACGCGGGTTAAAAACATTAACAGTGGTAACTTTTACATATTTCATTGCTAACCTTGGTTTCTTTAAAGTCACTGACCTTAAAAAGATCAAGATGAAAATCTGCTTAACCGTGGAAGCTCTGTTGCTTTTACGGGCAAGCTCGGATATTCTTGGTAATAAGTTGAAAGGTTGTTGCTGGGTTGTGTTAGAGGTACCGTATTAGAACGTTTGTTGGCGATATTCCTCTTTCACACCTGCCAAAATCTGAATCCATCTTTTTTCACCTCGAAAATGATTTGGTTCTTGAAATTTCATCGGCATCAATTTCAATGCAAAACAGCATCGTCATAGAATCGAATGCAGCAAGGAGATTTACGACAGTATTTTTTGTTTGTTTGCCCTCAAATCGCTTCTGTCCATATGTACTAGTTGTATCTGTTGGCCTTTGATGTGTTTATGACAATTGGGTTGCATTTTTGTAGTCGTACAGGCTAGCAGTGTTCTTATCTTTTCTTTGAGTTTCTGTGCGGCCATCATTTACACAGAGCGATGCCAGCGTGAGGGAATGTGCCTGTTCCTCACATTCACGACGATCTACATTCTTCATCTTCTCGTATCCTACAAATATGATGGCACACTCCTTCGCCTCCAGGAACGCATGATGTGCTTACTATGCGACCTGTTTCGTCCTCGAAAATGAGAATCACGATCGGCATTTCTTAAAGAGGATGTGTCTCTTAAAGAGGATTTCTCTTGCTGTTTCGTTTTGGGCATGCATAATTCACGCTGATCATCAGAGTGACTATTTGGAACGCCTTACCAAAGGCTGATTACCATAATTATTCGGATGAGTTTTGTGAGCTGTAATTTTCTAGATGCTGCAACGCTAGATGCTGGGTTCTGCCTTACATGTTCTTTTAGAATGCCATTTTCTGTTGGATTTGCCAGTGAAGGCACTGAGTGAACCCATATTAAGAACATACTTCCAATGATTTGCCTGGACATGAATGCTGCTGTATTCAACTCTGAAGCCTGGTTTCTGTACGGTCGTTTTTAACACAGATGGTCCGCAAGGCGTCACGGCGCAGATATTTCACCAAAAATTAAACAAAATGGCGTCCGAAACTTGGAAAATTTTCGCCCCAAAATGCCCTTTTTAGGTGGCAGTGTTTCCTCTTGAAGCCAAAGTGTTACTTCATTTTGATGTAATTTGTTAATGGTCAGCTATTTTCTTGACTGTTGGGGCTGCATATGCTAGTAATCATGAAGGGGAAAATGAACAAAATGACTTGCAGCAGTACTAAGCGAGAGGAATATCGTACGCCCGTCATGCCAGCGTGTGTGTTTGTATAGGCGTACTCAGCGACTCAACGTAGACATGCAGTCGGCAAAGTTGAACAGGGCTCAACTTTGCCGATCCGTCTCGGGCTGCTTTGCGTATTGGCTATGTTATCAGCGATACTTCCGCTTGACACATTTCCACATATCCGAGTTGCAGTTTGCGTTTTGATTGCGTTGTCCTCTGCATTTCTTACGTCGTATGGAAACCAGGCTTTACCAGACAAGGTTCCTTGTATGCTGGGGAGTGAAATGGACTGATTAGAAAGTCGCCATTTTTAGGTTCTTGTATCTGGTGACACAAAGAAACCCTATAGGCAAATGAGTCGCTATGTTACTTGGATTGCCACGACACGAAGTCGTGTGTTTCCCAGAAGAATGTGCATCATACTCTCTGGACGATGCGCTCAATGTAATTGAACATCGCCGGCTCTTCTC